ACATAGACCTCAGAATACTCATGGAGATACATAGAGATACATAGAGATTCATAGAGATACATAGAGATTCATAGATATGCATAGAGATACAGAGATACATAGAGATTCATAGAGATTAATAGAGACTCATAGAGATACATAGAGATACATAGAGACTCATAGAGATACATAGAGATACATAGAGACTCATAGATATACATAGAGACTCATAGAGATACATAGAGACTCATAGAGACTCATGGAGATACGTAGAGATACATAGAGATTCATAGAGATACATAGAGACTCATAGATATGCATAGAGATACAGAGATACATAGAGATTCATAGAGATTAATAGAGACTCATAGAGATACATAGAGATACATAGAGATTCATAGAGACTCATAGAGATAAATAGAGATACATAGAGACATGGAGACTTGTTCACACCTCATCTCCCCCCCCCTCTCCACCCCCTCTCCCCCATCTAGGCTCGTTTGGCAGTGTGGGTGGAGGTGGAGTGAAACCCGGCAGGATACGAATCCGAATCCCTTCCAGCCACTCGCTCCCACATACCAACACCGCCACACGTAACCTTGGTGATGACCTTCAAGTACCACTCACACCTACCACTCACATACCAACACCGCCACACGTAACCCTGGTGACGATGGCCTTCAAGTACCACTCACACCTACCACTCACATACCAACACCGCCACACGTAACCTTGGTGATGACCTTCAAGTACCACTCACACCTACCACTCGCATACCAACACCGCCACACGTAACCTTGGTGATAACTTTCAAGTACCACTCACACCTACCACTCACATACCAACACCGCCACACGTAACCCTGGTGATAACCTTCAAGTACCACTCACACCTACCACTCACATACCAACACCGCCACACGTAACCTTGGTGATAACCTTCAAGTACCACTCACACCTACCACTCGCATACCAACACCGCCACACGTAACCTTGGTGATAACCTTCAAGTACCACTCACACCTACCACTCACATATAAACACCGCCACACGTAAGCCTGGTGATGACCTTCAAGTACCACTCACACCTACCACTCACATACCAACACCGCCACACGTAACCCTGGTGACGATAGCCTTCAAGTACCACTCACACCTACCACTCACATACCAACACCGCCACACGTAACCTTGGTGATGACCTTCAAGTACCACTCACACCTACCACTCACACCTACCACTCACATACCAACACCGCCACACGTAACCTTGGTGATAACCTTCAAGTACCACTCACACCTACCACTCACATACCAACACCGCCACATGTAACCCTGGTGACGATGGCCTTCAAGTACCACTCACACCTACCACTCACATACCAACACCGCCACACGTCACCCTAGTGATAGCCTTCAAGTACCACACCTACCACTCACATACCAACACCGCCACACGTAACCCTGGTGACGATAGCCTTCAAGTACCACTCACACCTACCACTCACATACCAACACCGCCACACGTAACCCTGGTGATAGCCTTCAAGTACCACTCACACCTACCACTCACATACCAACACCGCCACACGTAACCCTGGTTACGATGGCCTTCAAGTACCACTCACACCTACCACTCACATACCAACACCGCCACACGTAACCCTGGTGACGATAGCCTTCAAGTACCACTCACACCTACCACTCGCATACCAACACCGTCACATACCTACTACACACATACCACTCATCACACTCACATACCACCTCCCACCTACCCTACCCAACCACCGCACCATCCGTTCTCCGTGTTGGTGAATGTGTCTGGAACGACGCCACGACCCTCAACATCAACACCACCCTCCTCCTCCTCTTCCCCGTGTCTCTCTCCCCGTGTCTTTCTCTCCCCGTGTCTCTCTCTCTCCCCGTGTCTCTCTCCCCGTGTCTCTCTCCCCGTGTCTCTCTCTCCCCGTGTCTCTCTCTCTCCCCGTGTCTCTCTCCCCGTGTCTCTCTCCCCGTGTCTCTCTCCCCGTGTCTCTCTCCCCGTGTCTCTCTCCCCGTGTCTCTCTCCCCCGTGTCTCTCTCTCCCCCGTGTCTCTCTCTCCCCGTGTCTCTCTCTCTCCCCGTGTCTCTCTCCCCGTGTCTCTCTCTCCCCGTGTCTCTCTCTCTCCCCGTGTCTCTCTCCCCGTGTCTCTCTCCCCGTGTCTCTCTCTCCCCGTGTCTCTCTCCCCGTGTCTCTCTCCCCGTGTCTCTCTCTCCCCGTGTCTCTCTCTCCCCGTGTCTCTCTCTCCCCGTCTCTCTCTCTCCCCATGTCTCTCTCTCCCCGTGTCTCTCTCCCCGTGTCTCTCTCCCCGTGTCTTTCTCCCCGTGTCTGTCTCCCCGTGTCTCTCTCTCCCCGTGTCTCTCTCTCCCCGTGTCTCTCTCCCCGTGTCTCTCTCCCCGTGTCTCTCTCTCCCCGTGTCTCTCTCTCCCCGTGTCTCTCTCTCCCCGTGTCTCTCTCTCCCTATGTCTCTCTCTCCCCGTGTCTCTCTCCCCGTGTCTTTCTCCCCGTGTCTCTCTCCCCGTGTCTCTCTCTCCCCGTGTCTCTCTCTCCCCGTGTCTCTCTCTCCCCGTGTCTCTCTCTCCCCGTGTCTCTCTCCCCGTGTCTCTCTCCCCGTGTCTCTCTCTCCCCGTGTCTCTCTCTCCCCGTGTCTCTCTCTCCCCGTGTCTCTCTCCCCGTGTCTCTCTCTCCCCGTGTCTCTCTCCCCGTGTCTCTCTCTCTCCCCGTGTCTCTCTCTCTCCCCGTGTCTCTCTCTCCCCATGTCTCTCTCCCCGTGTCTCTCTCTCCCCGTGTCTCTCTCCCCATGTCTCTCTCCCCGTGTCTCTCTCTCCCCGTGTCTCTCTCTCCCCGTGTCTCTCTCCCCGTGTCTCTCTCTCCCCGTGTCTCTCTCTCTCCCCGTGTCTCTCTCTCCCCGTGTCTCTCCCCCCCCCGTGTCTCTGCGTTTCCCTCACCCCCCCCCAGTCTCCCCTCCCCCCGTGTCTCTGTCCCCCTCGCCTGCTGTGGCCCAGGCTGTGGATGCCGCCGCCCTGGTGGTCACCGCCTCCACCGCCTCCACCGCCACCACCGCCTCCACCGCCGCCTCCACCGCCTCCACCGCCTCCACCACCGCCACCACCGCCTCCACCACCGGCACCTCGCCCCACAACGTCGCCACCGCTCACGGCACCCAGGGGGAGAGGGACTCACAACGGTGAGGTGGGGGGGGAGAGGGGGAGGGGTGGGGGGCAGAGGGAGAGGGAGGGAGGGAGGGAGGGGTGGAGGGGCAGAGGGAGAGGGAGGGAAGGAGGGAGGTAGGGGTGGAGGGAGGGAGGGAGGGGGTGGAGGGAGGGGTGGAGGGAGGGGTGGAGGGAGGGAGGGAGGGGTGGAGGGGTGGAGGGAGGGAGGGAGGGGTGGAGGGAGGGAGGGGCAGAGGGAGAGGGAGGGAGGGAGGAGGGAGGGAGGGGCAGAGGGAGGGAGGGGCAGAGGGAGGGAGGGGCAGAGGGAGGGAGGGGCAGAGGGAGGGAGGGAGGGGTGGATGGAGGGAGGGAGCGGTGGAGGGAGGGAGGGAGGGGTGGATGGAGGGAGGGAGGGGTGGAGGGAGGGAGGGAGGAGGGAGGGAGGGAGGGGCAGAGGGAGAGGGAGGGAGAGAGGAGGGAGGGAGGGGGTGGAGGGATGGATGGAGGGATGGAGGGAGGGGGTGAGAGAGGGTTATGGGAGAGAGAGTGAACGAGGCAAGGGAGGAGAGAGAGGCAGTGGGTGGGTGGGGGTAGGTGTGGATGGGTTGAGTTGTTGTTGTTGTTGTTTGTTGTGTGATACACTGACACGCACGCTGACCGGGAAAGCAACGCGGTTTTAATAACCAACCGGCTGTGAGAGCTCCGCTTCCGTAGCTCGGTTTCCGCCATGCTGCCTCTACATGTGCACGAGTTAACCCTGGCGAACGGTGCCGTTCAGCTCGCGCGCCGTCTGACCCACGGCTCCCAGCTTAAGGTTCAGCCGATGAACGGAGAGTTCCCCCGCTGTATCGAAGCCATGGCTCCCCGGTCGAAGTGTCCCTCAGACTCCCAGGGAGGGGCTCCCGGCGCTGAGCGGCGCTGCCGAATTAACAATTATTGTAAAACAATAAAATAATTATTCTTGGTTCTTTCGGTAAAGTCACCACCACGTTATAGAAGGGAAACAATAAAATAATTTTAAAAATATATAAACCAATACAATTATTGTAAAACAATAAAATTATTATTATTGGTTCTTTCGGTAAAGTCACCACCACGTTATAGAAGGGAAACAATAAAATAATAAAAATATATAAACCAATACAATTATTGTAAAACAATAAAATTATTATTCTTGGTTCTTTCGGTAAAAGTCACCACCACGTTAGAAGGGAAACAATAAAATAATAAAAATATAAAACAATAAAATGATTATTCTTGGTTCTTTCGGTAAAGTCACCACCACGTTATAGAAGGGAAACAATAAAATAATAAAAATATATAAAACAATAAAAATATAAAACAATAAAATTATTATTCTTGGTTCTTTCGGTTAAAGTCACCACCACGTTAGAAGGGAAACAATAAAATAATAAAAATATATAAAACAATAAAAATATAAAACAATAAAATTATTATTCTTGGTTCTTTCGGTAAAAGTCACCACCACGTTAGAAGGGAAACAATAAAATTATAAAAATATAAAACAATAAAATTATCGTAAAACAGTAAAATTATTATTCTTGGTTCTTTCGGTAAAGTCACCACCACGTTAGAAGGGAAACAATAAAATAATAAAAATATAAAACAATAAAATTATTGTAAAATAATAAAATTATTATTCTTGGTTCTTTCGGTAAAGTCACCACCACGTTATAGAAGGGAAACAATAAAATTATAAAAATATAAAACAATAAAATTATCGTAAAACAGTAAAATTATTATTCTTGGTTCTTTCGGTAAAAGTCACCACCACGTTAGAAGGGAAACAATAAAATTATAAAAATATATAAAACAATAAAATTATTATTCTTGGTTCTTTCGGTAAAAGTCACCACCACGTTAGAAGGGAAACAATAAAATTCTAAAATATGTATAAGACAATAAAGTTGTGTAGTCGTTTGTTGTCCTTCATCCGCACCTCCGATACTCAGCAACGGTTGGCTACGTACGGTACCGAAGAAGTTCACCACACACTCAAACACTCACACTCACTCACACACTCACTCACACACTCACACACTCACTCACACACTCACACACTCACTCACACACTCACTCACACACTCACACACTCAAACACTCACACTCACTCACACACTCACTCACCCACTCACTCACACACTCACTCACACACTCACTCACACACCCACTCACTCACACACCCACTCACACACACACTCATACACCCACTCACTCACTCACATACACACGCACACACTCACTCACGTACATACCCACCCACTCACTCACACACTCACACACTCACTCACACACTCACATACTCACTCACGTACATACACACTCACACACACTCACTCACATACAAACATACACACTCACTTACACACACACTCACGTACATACTCACTCACGTACACACACATCCACTCACTCAAGTACATACACACACTCACTCACACACACTCACTCACATACACACTCACTCAAACACTCACATACTCACTCACATACATACTCACGTACATACACACTCACACACACACTCAAACACTCACACTCACACTCAAACACTCACACTCACACACCCACTCACACACTCACATACACACTCACTCACGTACATACACACTCACTCACTCAAACACTCACACACTGACACACTCACCCACTCACACACCCACTCACTTAGTCACACACACGCACTCACACACACACACTCACACACTCACATACTCACACACTCACTCACACACACAACCACACACTTACCCACACACCCACTAACTCACTCACACACTCACTCACACACCCACTCACACTCACTCACACACCCACTCACACTCACTCACACACTCACACACCCACTCACTCACACACTCACTCACTCACACACTCACTCAGACACTCACTCAGACACTCACACACACACTCACACACTCATACACTCGCTCACTCACACACTCACACACTCACACACACTCACTCACACACTCACTCAGACACTCACACACTCACACACCCACTCACTCACTCACACACTCAGACACTCACACACCCACTCACTCACACACTCATACACTCACACACCCACTCACTCACCCACACACACACTCACTCACTCACACACTCACACACTCACTCAGACACTCACACACTCACTCACACACTCACCCACACACACACTCGCTCACTCACACACTCGCTCACTCACACACTCACTCAGACACTCACACACACTCACCCACACACTCACACACTCATACACTCGCTCACTCACACACTCACCCACACACACACTCACTCGCACACTCACTCAGACACTCACACACACACTCACACACTCACTCAGACACTCACACACACACACTCACACACTCACTCAGACACTCACACACACATACACTCGCTCACTCACACACTCACCCACACATACACTCGCTCACTCACACACTCACCCACACACACACACTCACTCACACACTCACCCACACACTCACTCACTCACACACTCACACACTCACTCAGACACTCATACACACACTCATACACTCACTCAGACACTCACACACACACACTCAGTCACCCACTCACCCACAGACACACACACAGTCACCCACTCACCCACACACACACTCACTCACTCACACACTCACTCAGACACTCACACACACACTCAGTCACCCACTCACCCACAGACTCTCTCTCTCCCCGTGCGTAGTGGTGGTGGCTGTGTGGAGGTGCGTCAAGTCACGCTGGAGAGAGAGGGAGAGAAGTTGGGGATATCCATCGCGGGGGGAGAGCGTGGCGGAGTTTTTGTGTCTCGCGTGGAAGAGCGCAGCCTGGCGCAGCGTGCCGGGCTGGGATACGGTGACCAGCTGCTGGAGGTGAGACGCAGACAGGGAGAGAGAGACAGACAGGGAGACAGGGAGAGACACAGAGAGAGAGAGAGACAGTGAGAGGGAGAGAGACGGAGAGAGAGACAGGGAGAGAGACAGAGAGACAGGGAGAGAGAGACAGGGAGAGAGACAGAGAGACGGAGAGAGACAGGGAGAGAGACGGAGAGAGAGACGGAGAGAGAGACACAGGGAGAGACAGGGAGACAGACAGGGAGAGAGAGACAGACAGGGAGACAGGGAGAGACAGGGATAGACAGAGAGAGAGAGAGACAGGGAGAGATACGGAGAGAGAGACAGGGAGAGAGACAGGGAGAGACACAGAGAGACAGGGAGAGGGAGAGAGACGGAGAGAGAGACAGGTAGAGAGACGGAGAGAGAGACAGGGAGAGACAGAGAGAGAGACAGGGAGAGAGAGAGGGAGAGAGAGACAGAGAGATGGAGAGAGAGACAGGGAGAGACAGGGGGAGAGAGAGAGAGACAGGGAGAGAGACAGAGAGAGAGAGAGACGGAGAGAGAGAGAGACAGGGAGAGAGACAGGGAGACACAGGGAGAGACAGGGAGAGACAGGGAGAGAGACAGAGAGAGAGGGAGAGAGAGACAGGGAGAGAGGACTGGGGTACAGACACCAGCTCCTCCCTCTGTCTCTCTCCTTGTCTCTCTGTCTCTCTCTCTCCCTGTCTCTCTCCCTGTCTCTCTTCCTGTCTCTCTGTCTCTCCTTGTCTCTCTGTCTCTCTCCCTGTCTCTCTGTCTCTCTCCCTGTCTCTCTACCTGTCTCTCCCCGTGTCTCTCTGTCTCTCTCCCTGTCTCTCTCCTTGTCTCTCTGTCTCTCTCCCTGTCTCTCTGTCTCTCTCCCTGTCTCTCTGTCTCTCTCCTTGTCGCTCTGTCTCTCTCTCTCCCCGTGTCTCTCTCTCCCCGTGTCTCTCTGTCTCTCTCCCTGTCTCTCTACCTGTCTCTGTCTCTCCCCGTGTCTCTCTGTCTCTCTCCCTGTCTCTCTGTCTCTCTCCCTGTCTCTCTGTCTCTCTCCTTGTCTCCCTGTCTCTCTGTCTCTCCCCGTGTCTCTCTGTCTCTCTCCCTGTCTCTCTGTCTCTCTCCCTGTCTCTCTGTCTCTCTCCTTGTCTCTCTAACTCTCTCCCTGTCTCTCTGTCTCTCTTCCTGTCCCTCTGTCTCTCCCCGTGTCTCTCTGTCTCTCTCCCTGTCTCCCTGTCTCCCTGTCTCCCTGTCTCTCTATCTCTCTCCTTGTCTCTCTAACTCTCTCCCTGTCCCTCTGTCTCTCTCCCTGTCCCTCTGTCTCTCCCCGTGTCTCTCTGTCTCTCTCCTTGTCTCTCTGTCTCTCTGTCTCTCTCCCTGTCCCTCTGTCTCTCTCCCCGTGTCTCTCTGTCTCTCTAACTCTCTCCCTGTCTCTCTGTCTCTCTATGTGCCCCTTGGAGTGCAGTACAACGGGATCAACCTGCGTAACGTGTCTCTCTGTCTCTCTAACTCTCTCCCTGTCTCTCTGTCTCTGTCTCTCTGTCTCTCTCTCTGTCTCTCTGTCTCTCTCTCTGTCTCTCTAACTCTCTCCCTGTTTCTGTCTCTCTCCCTGTGTCTCTCTGTCTCTCTCTCTGTCTCTCTAACTCTCTGTGTCTCTGTCTCTCTGTCTCTCTCTCTGTCTCTCTGTCTCTCTCCCTGTCTCTCTGTCTCTCTCTCTGTCTCTCTAACTCTCTGTCTCTCTCTCTGTCTCTCTGTCTCTCTATGTGCCCCTTGGAGTGCAGTACAACGGGATCAACTTGCGTAACGTGTCTCTCTGTCTCTCTAACTCTCTCCCTGTCTCTCTGTCTCTCTCTGTCTCTCTCTCTGTCTCTCTGTCTCTCTAACTCTCTGTCTCTCTCTGTCTCTCTGTCTCTCTCCCTGTCTCTCTGTCTCTCTGTCTCTCTCCCCGTGTCTCTCTATGTGCCCCTTGGAGTGCAGTACAACGGGATCAACCTGCGTAACGTGTCTCTCTGTCTCTCTGTCTCTCTAACTCTCTCCCTGTCTCTCTGTCTCCCTGTCTCTCTCCCCGTGTCTCTCTATGTGCCCCTTGGAGTGCAGTACAACGGGATCAACCTGCGTAACGTGTCTCTCTGTCTCTCTAACTCTCTAACTCTCTCCCTGTCTCTCTGTCTCCCTGTCTCTCTCCCCGTGTCTCTCTATGTGCCCCTTGGAGTGCAGTACAACGGGATCAACCTGCGTAACGTGTCTCTCTGTCTCTCTGTCTCTCTAACTCTCTCCCTGTCTCTCTGTCTCCCTGTCTCTCTCCCCGTGTCTCTCTATGTGCCCCTTGGAGTGCAGTACAACGGGATCAACCTGCGTAACGCCACGGAGCAGCAGGCCAAGTTGATCATCGGCCAGACGGAGACCGGCTCCACAGTGACCCTCCTGACGCAACCTCAGCAACACTCACCCACCTCACCCACACACCACGGGTGAGAGGGCTCACACACTCACTCACCCACACACTCACCCACACACTCACCTCACCCACACACTCACCTCACCCACACACCACGGGTGAGAGAGCTCACACACACACTCAACCACACACTCAGTCACTCACTCACCCACTCACCCACCTCACCCACACACCACGGGTGAGAGAGCTCACCCACACACTCACACACTCACCCACACACCCACCTCACCCACACACCACGGGTGAGAGAGCTCACCCACACACTCACCCACACACTCACCTACACACTCGCCTCACCCACACACCACGGGTGAGAGAGCTCACACACTCACCCACACACTCACCCACACACTCGCCTCACCCACACACCACGGGTGAGAGAGCTCACACACTCACCCACACACTCACCCACACACTCGCCTCACCCACACACCACGGGTGAGAGAGCTCACACACTCACCCACACACTCACCTACACACTCACCTCACCCACACACCACGGGTGAGAGAGCTCACCCACACACTCACCCACTCACTCACCCACACACTCACTCACCCACACACCACGGGTGAGAGAGCTCACCCACACACTCACCTCACCCACACCCCACGGGTGAGAGAGCTCACCCACACACTCACTCACACACTCAGTCACTCACTCACCCACACACTCACCTCACCCACACACCACGGGTGAGAGAGCTCACCCACACACTCACCCACTCACTCGCCTCACCCACACACCACGGGTGAGAGAGCTCACCCACACACTCACTCACACACTCAGTCACTCACTCACCCACACACTCACCTCACCCACACACCACGGGTGAGAGAGCTCACCCACACACTCACCCACACACTCACCTCACCCACACACCACGGGTGAGAGAGCTCACCCACACACCCACACACTCACCCACACACTCACCCACTCACTCACCCACACACTCGCCTCACCCACACACCACGGGTGAGAGAGCTCACACACTCACCCACACACTCACCCACACACTCACCCACACACTCACCCACACACTCACCCACACACTCATCTCACCCACACACCACGGGTGAGAGAGCTCACCCACACACTCACTCACACACTCAGTCACTCACTCACCCACACACTCACCTCACCCACACACCACGGGTGAGAGAGCTCACCCACACACTCACCCACTCACTCACCCACACACTCACTCACCCACACACCACGGGTGAGAGAGCTCACCCACACACTCACTCACACACTCAGTCACTCACTCACCCACACACTCACCTCACCCACACACCACGGGTGAGAGAGCTCACCCACACACTCACCCACACACTCACCTCACCCACACACCACGGGTGAGAGAGCTCACCCACACACCCACACACTCACCCACACACTCACCCACTCACTCACCCACACACTCGCCCACTCACTCACCCACACACTCGCCTCACCCACACACCACGGGTGAGAGAGCTCACACACTCACCCACACACTCACCCACACACTCACCCACACACTCACCCACACACTCGCCTCACCCACACACCACGGGTGAGAGAGCTCACCCACACACTCACCCACACACTCAGTCACTCACTCACCCACACACTCACCCACACACTCACCCACACACTCACCTACACACTCACCTCACCCACACACCACGGGAGAGAGAGCTCACACACTCACCCACACACTCACCTCACCCACACACCACGGGT